AAATAAGTTACCAATACGAATAAAACGATCATTACTATTTGTCAAGTCATTATTTGGTTAATAATATTTTCAACAAGTATTACTAAACGTTTCATTAAGAATTTGATCACTTCGTACGAATTTGGAGGGAATTTTAAATATATAAAAATACGCAAAGATTGAAGATTAAGATTCAATTCTCTATCAGGATCTCATTTAAATTACCTTCAGAAGAAATACAAACTTACATAATGATGAGTACAGGCAAGGCAAACCACAGATGAGACGGTCTATTTCGAGACAGATCATAAAAATTCATAGAAGGCAGAAACTCAATTAGCTAAGTGAAGAACGTGTCAAACGTGTCAAGGGATTTATGGGCGCCGTAGAATTCTCGCAAAATCGGGAAAGAAACGGAAATCGATAAAATGCTGGCGTGTTTGATTGCTGTGCAAATGCAGCTGGTTGCGAATAATATTAATGAAATAATCATTAGCATGATCCATTAAAATTCTGAATATTAATGATTCTTTGAAGATCGAAAACGTGAACTTGTTATTTCATGAAATAGATAAGCACAAAGCTATTGAAACGTTGAAACATTATGATTGTTCTGAAATAACTGAATGATTGTAAAATATTGCGTATCATCTTCTCTACGTGGGAATTAATTAATTTATAATTATTTTGCAATCATATGAAGATTTGCTGAAGAAATCTTTTTTAACAGAGTCTAAGATTTACAGAAATGTCTCGATTGATCTTTTAAAGTAAAATATATATAACTTGCTTCACTTATCGATATAAATATTTTGAAATAAAGATATCTATATGATATACAATATATCAGTATCGATAACATAAGCTTGATGAGCTACTATCATTGAACAATATAAATCAGTGTTATGATAGGATTAATAAAAATTTCCTTTGCTTTTCGATAGAGAAGATACGTTGGAATAAAAGTATAATTTCATACAGCTTGATAACAGTGCATGGAATTTTTATATAGAACTAAATTTTTCATCTACTTAATTTCACTTTCGTAAAAATGAAATATTCCCATTTGTAAAATGTAATACAACGTTATGTTTATAAAAAAAAGTTTAGAAGTTTATTATAAATGAATAGGTACAAGATAAAATAATTATCCATATATATATGTGTGAATGAAATGAATATTTTATAAAAATTATCATGACATGTCAAAAAAATATACTCGACATGTCAAAAAAATGTTGCACTGAGTAGAAGCTGAAGGATCTCGAGATTTGGACAATAATGGCGTCCGCGAGACCGGATGTAATACTTAAACAACGGTTTCCGGTCAAGTAGATCTTACAATTAGGGAAGAAGGATTTAGGAATCTAAATTGAGAGAACCGGACGCGATGACAAGCTCGTGGAAAAATAATCAATGAACGATCTACTTTCCGATAGTCATCACGTTCTACTATGTATACATAATGTTTGATAACGTATCACTTTAAGGTCGAGTTGAAAGTGTGGGCGTGTCTACTGCGTAGCACTCAGAATTCCCGTTCGCAATGGGAAACTTCATCCCCCAGCTAGATGCAGCTGTCTGGTTTATCCATGGAACGTCCAAAGACTTAAAATTTATGGATTTACTCTTATGATAATGAGATGATTTTATTATTCAACAAATAAATTCCAAATTTTATCGCGTTGTATTGAAATATCATGTTAAATAAAAGAAGCTAAAATGTGTTTTTAGATAGAGTGAAAGTGTTCAAAACACTTTTGTTGATAATGGTATACAATAATGACAATTAAATTTAATTAATCGATGCACTGCGAATTTCTACGCGTTCATAGGGAATTTCGAATTTTTTGTAACGTGTGATATTTACAATATTTTGTGCATGCGTAGAACAACTTTTTACTGTTCCTTTTTTTTTTCTTTTTTTGAGAAATTTAGATTTTTCATTTTTCATGATAAAAAATCCTTTACGACGTATATGAAAGTATTCAAAAAACATGGGATATTTCTTAATCCTAATGTGTCTCAAAAAGTTAACACATACGCCGTCATAGTGGTAAAAGTTTTGATTCTAGGCAGACAAAATTACAATCAATTAATAAAAAAATTTAGAATTTCTCAATATTTATTACAGTTACAATTCCATTTCAAATGACCGGTTTCACAAACGGTGTAAAATCATTCAGCATTTTCTGACTAAAAGTTACAGTTCCTCAGAAAAATTGAAACTTTATTAAATTGAAGTTTATGAAAAAAATTTATGATCTTCTGTATATTCTTCGGTCATTTTTGATCCAGTTACATTTCTCTAATGATACAAGAAATAAAATAAAATATAGGAAAATTCTATAAACTTACTTCTAAACTATATATATATTACGTTAAACATTTTCTTTTTTATAGTTTCATGATAAGTGTGCTTTATATTATAATGTAATATTGAAATATGAAAATTTCGAGGACCGTAGCATGATTAACTAAATCTGCGTTTATGTTTTTGCCCTTGCCAAAGTTCGCGAAGATCTCGAAACAGAGACGGAAGGAAAGGACTGATTGTGAGACCCGGTGTCACGTTCGATCGAGGATAAGTAGAAGGGGTGAAAGTAGACAGTCGGGATTCGATTTACCGCAAAGAGAGTTTTTCCTGGAAGCACTTGAAGTTGTTTGGAAATTTCCGGCTGATCGACGTTTTTTTTTTTTTCCGGGGATGCGATCGAAGTATCTTCGAACAACAGAATGTATTTGTTGCTCTAATCTTTCCACCCTTCGATCGTAGGATTTTTTACACGGGATCATCCTTTGCGAGAATGAATTTATTAATGTTGGAAGAACATTGTTATTTCCTCACTAAATTAAATCAAAAATTTAATCGAACTGTCGCAGTTGAAATAATCAGATTCTTAACATCAAGACTAGTAGTGCAATAAAGTGTAAAATTTGATATTATTTATTGGTGCTATATTTAAATATACAATAATCGTAGATTTATTACAATGATCGTAGATTATATAAATGAGATTTAAAATTTTTGAAAGAAACATATTTTATTCAGAATTATTGTTATGTTTATTATAATACTGTTATGTTATTGATATCACGTGAATTTGGATTTTACTCTAAAAATTCAATAATTCAATATCACTTTCTTAACAATATAAATTCACTCAGTTTAATTAATTTAATAACCATCTTATTTACTTCGATTTATAATTTATTTATTATCTAAAGAATTAATAATAAATTCAATTCATTATATCGAAGATAAATTAATTAATTATAATATTAGTAATATTGGGAATATTTTAATATTTTGATTATAGATTATGATATGTCATTAATTTATTAAATTAAAGAGTCGAAAGTATAAGACAATAGAACAAAAATTGTAATATTTTATGTATATAATACGTGAAATAACTTTTATTTACACAGGGTGTCCCGTTTGATATTTGATTTATGTTATTATTATTATTTGTAGCAAGAAATTTTACAACGAAAGGTAAATAGTTTCAATTCATTTCTGTGCATGATTTATTTTTTAATGGAGCCGCATGTTTCCAAACGCATTGATCGTGTTGCAACTCGATATTCTCTCTAATTGTACGAAAAATGATTAATTTCAGCTAGAATTTTATCATAAAATATCACATGAACAATAAGGAAATATATACATGTATTTACATGTTAACCTAAAAAAGTTAAAATATCTATTAAATCAGTCATTTTTCGACGTAGGTGATTTAACATTAATATCAGACGAAAAATTCTGTACATTTTATGAGAAAGTCAAAATCTAAAGATGCACCACTTCACTTGTTTGTTCCAATCAACTAAATAATTTCTTAAACCTGTTCACTATTTCAATTCATTTGAACCAAATTTTACTCAATACCTAGTTAAAAATAAACTCTTGCTGGTGGAATCTACTTATTTGAAACTGAACTCCTATTAGTAGACAAAAGAACTAATGACATTCAGTATAAAATGTTAAATGGTGCAGAGGGTTCTCTAACATTCATGAGTAGAGAATTTCTTGTAGAAATCATTAGTAAACACCTATTATAGAGTGAATAATGTAAAGAGTTAATAAGATAGATTTTTCCAAAATTATTGTAGATATTGGCCCTTTAGAGAAATTTTGAAGTGTAAAATGGAGTGCAGAGGAACTAATATTTCAGATATTTTGAGGGTGAGTTTCTTTAGAGGTGGAAAGATTGCTATCTTAAGTTTTTTTCTTTAAAATGAAACGATATATCAATTTTTATAATAGTCGATAATATCAATTTTTATAAACGATATATCAATTTTTATAATAATTTTATAATAGTCGGGAAGCCCACGAAAAAAAAAAAAACTATTACTGTGACACTATAGTTTCTTCTATACTGAACAATTTTGGTTAATAAAGTTTCTTCATATGTTCAAAAGCAACGGAGATATAACAACTAGTTCACCCTATACGTGAGAACAGGATCTGCGTGAATTCTACACACAATTGTGGCTTTATTTATTATCAACAGATTCGAAATTATTGACAATAATTAATAATCGAATTAAATTAGAAATTGAATTTATTTACCGTCGATAGAGAAAGAAATTGCGAAGAATTTACTATCCCAAGAAGGAGAACGTTCAATTCTTGCCACTTGATGGCAATTTGACAAATTTGGAAAAATAAGATCGCTAAAGCATTTGTAGACTTATTTCTTGTGCCACACACTTGAAACCTCGGAGTACACCCTGTACATAAGTGTTTGTCCCACGGCGGGTTCGTACGAACGCACTTTTGTTATGCCAATTGATAGAAATCGATTCGGCACCGGGTTCTTTGACTCGACTTCTCGCCCAGCATCTTCCTTCGCACGCGGCAAAAGAAGAAGACGAAGACGAAGACGAAGACGAAAAGCCGCGCGTGTGACGCGTGCGTCGCGCCAGAGTTCGGTGGCGTGTGCGCGCGCCACGCCGCGTGTGTATTTAAGTGGGTGTACACGCGTGTGTTCGAAAGAGTTTTATGGGGAAAGGGAAGCAGGACGCATGCTTCTTTCCTTAATGTCGAGCCGGCTCGAGGGATCCCCAGTGTTGCACGGTGTGTTCAGTGGCTCGCGTTAGATCTCCGCTGATCGCTCGGATCGGTGGATCGCGTTCGCAAGCTTCCGTTTCTCGACTTCCGTCAGCCTCCAGTCGACAGCAACCAAGTGAGTGGTCAAAGGCCAAGTCTTTTCTCTCTTTCTTTCTTTTTCTTCTTCGAAAGCCTTTACGAAGAGATGTTGTTGCGTGCTGCGTGTCTTCTCCATGATCGATAGATTGACGAAGTTCTGATGAAACAAGTCCGTGGTGTTACTGTTCAGTAAAATTGAAATTTTGCCGCGGTTCGATTTCGAGAAGAACTCTTTTTTCTTTTTTTTTGACGAGCTTCTTTGAAAAATTCCTTGGTGAAGAAGTCTAGTGTAGTGTATTTTCGTTACGAACAGTAGATTGACGAAGTTTATGGAGTAAGGAGTATTGGTATAGTTTATGAAAAGTTGAAAATTTGGGGAATTTTCTGTTTCACGTTTCCCTTTTTTGAACAGCTTCTGTGAAAAGATCTTGGGTAGTGGAAGATAAACTGACGGATTTCTTGATGAAATAAGTTGCAAGCAGTTTGTAAATTAATCGGGATTCTAATAAAGTAACAAGCCTTCTTTTTCACGAAAAACTTTTTGTGTAATGTGCTTTTCAGTGATTGACGGAGTCTTGATAAAATAAATAAAATATATATAAAATAAGGAGGTTCCGTCATGTCGATGAAAAATTGTAAATTTGAAGGATTCCAAAATTGAGAACTTGACAATATTTTATGTATCCAGTTTCGAAAGAAATATCCCTTTCTTCATTTTTCATACGTTCCTTTTCTTCTTCTTTCCATTTCCTTTCTGACGAGCATGAGAGATTTTTGTGAAAAGATTTTCCGTTTCCATGAACCAAATACAACAAATTGACGAAATTTTAATAAAGTTAAAGAATCCGATGTCTTTTGTATCCAATTTCGAAGAGATACTTCTTTCTTCTCTTTTATTTTTTCTTTTTTTTCATTTTTCGTCTTTCTCTTTTCGAATATATAAAATCGCAAACAAACAGAAATTTTGAATAATTTTGCTTGTTTTTAAATTTCAAAAATACGCGATACATATTTACACTCTATTTGAAAATACATATTGTACTTTCAAATTTACGTTGTATTTTTAGATTCTATACATTTTATACTTTTTTTACGTTACATTCTAAATGTTCTAAGTTAAATACGAATAACTTAACTTCAAAGAAGAAATTTCTATACAATATACTTCGGATTAGTATCATAGTGTAAGTTAGGCTTGTCGCGTTGTTCGCGATACTTAATTAGCAGTAAAATTCTTTTCTATGTTGAGTCGGCTTAAGTTATCTCGAGTAATCGTCGAACATTGTATAAACTAATTTTGGATCACTTTGGCAGCGGAGCTATCTATACTTGTGTATTCTTGGTATTTGCGCTGATAATTCGAGCCATTTATTTCACTTAGTTCCCAATAGTGCTATAGGCTGAACATGTGAAAATTGTTTTCTTTCTTTTCTTTTTTAATAACTAGAAAAAAGAAAAGTAATTTCTTTTCTTTTTTCAATTTAGTGTCATGTGTCGGACAAAATTTTGCCGAACTGTACCGGAAGTCTTACTGATATTTCGCTGCGTTCAATTTTAACGAATCGTAGCTGGTTCAAGGAATAAGTAGATGAGAGACGAACTTGAACTGGCAGTCTAGTCTACAATTAAAACGAACTGATATCTACAAAATAAAAAAAAAAGAAAAGAAGAGAGAAAGAAATTACAAACAGAACACGAAGATGGATATGTAACGTTGATGCGTAAAATTAACGCGAAGAGAATGACGTGTGTATGTATGTGTGCAGATGTTTAAGATTGGATTGCGTCGATTGGTAAAAATGTGAGTCTTAGGAAGACAATTGTCGTTAGATTCGTGTTTGAAGATGGTTCTCAGAAAGACTCAAAAAGTTTTCACGAAATGGCAGAAACTGCGAAACCTCGAATGACTTGGCTCTGTGTTCGATGTTAAAACAACTCTCAAGAAACATTTTCTTGACACATTTCGTTTTCGAAAAATTAAAATTCCACAAAATTTCGCAAAAGAAGCGGATCTCGCTCCTTCTCTTGGGTCTTAAGCGCGACTCAATGAAGAGACTCCGAAGCAAATCGGACCAATTTCGAAACTCTCGATTTGATTTAATTTCTAATTACCAATCTCCATAGAAAAAAAAAGAAAGAAAGAAAGAAAGAAATAAAATTAAAACAACTCGAATTTTTCTAACGAAATACGAATTACTATCGTTCAAGGATTAATGACACTTCGCCTTTCGCTGTCTAACATCTCTTGCTTCGAATAACAACAGCAATGTAAATCAAAATGGTCAATATTAGATTAGGTTAGGAGGATCAATTAACTCGTAGGTATTGAAAAAAAAACGAGAATTATACGATGAAAACGAAAATAGAAGGAAAAGTATGTCGACGTTGCGGTATTAATTCTTATCTCATGACGCTTCGTGTACGAAAACACAACTTTGAAGTTTCGTTGCAGGCGTGCGCACTTAACCAAGATTCGATCTCTAACTGATCCCGCTATAAATCCACCAACGTGTGTCTGTGTATTATAGTGTACACAAGGCCACGCATTCGGCGTGGTGGACGTAATGTAATCAAGAATTTTTCAATATAAACTGTTGCCGGCTTGTTGCTAAATGTAGAGTTATGCTTTCGAATAAAGAAAAAGAATCCGCGCTGACATGATAACCGAGAACCCTAATCCACTAGTTGAAATTTTGTTTTCGTAATTATAGCAAGTCTTGTGTATTTGTATATTATGTTATATTATTATATATTCTGTACAAATATAATGCAATATGTACAATATATGTCAATATATTGATATAATAACATTGTAATGCAATATTGAAATGATATACCAGGAACTTTTTATTTTTTATTGTCGTAATAACCAGGAATTCCCACGTTTTGAATTTAACTTCTCAAGATTTTAATTTCAATTCATATCGTGATATTACTATAATTAAACTTTATATATTTATATTAAATATTATATTACTGCATAGTATACATTGATAATTTCTACATATTGAAAATTCATCTCACGATAATATTTTCTATAATTAATATGCTTTCGAATAAAAAATTGCACAAATTTTTTGCTGCCATAACACCAAGAATTTTATCCTATTCTTAAAGTTGGAATTTTAATCATTCATATCCTGACATTATTATACATGATTATAGTAACATTTCTATATTATCACGGTAAGCTATTATGTAGTTGTTATAAATGATTAAGATATTACAATATCTTAATCAAAGCATAACTTACTGTAATGTATAATACATTACATGTGATTTTTTTCTCTATAATATAATATAATACAATAAAAAATATGTATACAAATACATACATTGTTGAAAGTATAAACTACATATATACAATATGCTAAATATGATCTTTTCCATAATTAATACATTTTCAAATGAAAAATTCGACGAACTTTTCATTACCAAGAATCTCGATTTATATTTTATTTTAACTCTAGCTTCTGAAAACTTCTACTCCAATTCTTTGTAACATCACTTTCTTCCTTTGAATATATTATTGTGCTAAGATTCACTATTTTCTACGTGAAAATATTACATTTTCGCCTTATCCACAGTCTTTTCGAGAAAAAAATAAAAAAAAAAAGAAAATCTAGAAAAATATTTGACAAAGAGATTTAACGTTCTCTTAAATCGATTACTTATAATAATTTAAGAATTTCTTCGGCAAACACATTTATTTCGATAAGATCGTTATATATTACTCTTCCGTGTTACGTATTACGATTTTCAACGCGCCTCGAACACGGGCTTATCTCATCGGAATTGTATCAGTTGTATCTGTGTACTAGAATCAGCCGCCTTCCAGATCGATACTCGTTCTGACTTCCTTATTTTTATTCGACTTGACGCTCGACATTCTGAAGAAACGAAGAAAACTCTGGCACTCGTATTCGTATTCGTGGAACACGAGTTGCTATCTTCGAATTTATACTGCTTTTAAGAATTCTGCAAAGATAATTATGCACTAATAGCAGTAATTTGCCCGTATTTTCCGATGGGAAAATTTTTCCTCTGACAAAAGTAGCGAAATTGCAGGGAAGGCTCGTTCGTTTTCTCTACTGAAATTCATTTTGATATTTCCGGCTTGCAATGAGAAAGAAGAACGAGAGAGAAAAAGGATATAAAAAATAGATTTACAGGTGTGCTGTTCAGTGGGCAATCTTTCGATATTCTTTTCTGTTTACAGAGATAATGAAATAATTGTAGAAAAGATCGCTGTAAATTTTCAATTCGAACAAAATTTATATGTATCAAATAAAGATGAATCGAAAGATCATATCAGAGTTTGAAAATTAAAAGTGTAATTTCTAACTTTCGAACGAAAGAATAGAAAAGGGAATAAATGGAAATTTTCAATGGAAATTTTTTTCCACACTTTCTCATAGAAGTAATTGTAGAAAAACCATTCTTTTCGACGAAGATTTTCTCGAATTTTCAGTTTATAAAAAAAAAAGGGAAGAAAAGAGACAAAATTCATACATTTTTCAACGCGTGTTTTCTCGTGGAAATAATTAATTGAATAATTAATTACAGAAAAGCCGAAGTTGAAATTTCCGCTTCCCGTTTTTTTCATTTCCCCCGGGATGGAAGTATCCCGTAATTTCCCATTTTTTAAATTACTTTCAAAGGCACGCCATCTTTATCTGTCGAGCGCATGGTCGATCCTTCGCAGAGTTAACAATCCGAGTTTGCAAGACAAAACGATATATGATAAATTACGATTTCCACTTGCTACCAATCTTATCACGCGATATTATCTTCACGTGTGATCTTTATTGATCGATGATTAATCGTGTCATTACGTTGATGCGTGTGAAACTTATCTCTCTTGAACTTGAATTTGTCCGGTACCATCATCGATTAAACTTCAGCCTTGTCATCAATCATCAACAAACATGGCGAGACTTCCCATAAATCTTACGTACATCAAATGATTAAAAAAAGAAAAAAAAAAAAAATCACAATTTTTAAACTACAATTCTTGTTTGTGTTAATCATATCGTTGTTTGGAAATTGAATGATTTTCTTCGATGGAAGTTAAATTTATATTAAATTAATATTCGTAAAAGTAAAAATGAAAATTATTTGTGATTAGACCGATAGCCGTAAAAATTGAGATTAAAATTAAAGAAGAAGAGAGAATTACGCTGTCTTGAAGAATCTTTCGAAAGCATTGCAGATGCTTTGTAATCCCGTTACGTTTACACATGTTACTCGTTTAATTCAATTGTTTAACGTCCCGCATGAATTTGAATTAATTCGTTGATGCCATCGTTTCGTCAATGTTAATTTAATTATAATATTCATGCGATGCGAAAGATGTACGAATACAAAAGCAAGTGAATCCGTGATGCAACGGATTGTTTTCATTTTTCATGTATAATAGAATATATATATAGAGAGAAAGAAATGACAAACAATATTAACTCATTACCAATAACAAAAGTAAATACTGCAACAGTGGAATGTTAACAAAATAATACCTACTTGTGCAAAGACTGGATTTATAGATGAATCACGTAAAAATGAAGCAAATTTTTATGGAAAAAAAAAATGAGAAGGTAAGGAGGAGATAAATTAGTTAAATTTAACGCAACAGAACGAAAATACGTGTATGTACGTGAATTATTTTTATTTTTAAATACATATGCATATTCGTACTTCACGGTCACGATCACGGACAAGGGCTGTGTTGTTAAAATGCTAGATAGCAAGCTAAAAGCTGGTAGCAAAAATGTCTCGGAGATTTATTTGCTTTGGCATTACAACTGAAACGCATCGCACGCTCCAGGCTAGGTGTAAAAGATGTTGACTAAATATACTGAGATACAGAAACCATACGAGGCGTACAGTTATATATCTTGAAGCAGAAAAATTTGTGAATACACGCTTCAAACGGATGGTTAATTCGATGTTAAGAATATAACATGCTCAAGAATTTCCTCCAACGTAAGAGAATTAAACAATTTCATCTGAGAGTGAAAATTCAATCCAATCAAAGATTTTCTTTATTTAAATGTCTCGAAAATTTAAGAAATTGAAGAAATGACTTTATTTGAAAATTTATAAAAAAAAACTGAAAAATTTATGTTACCTAAGAATAAAAATTTACTTTATCTGAGAACAAAACATTTGCTTTATTTAGGAATTTGAAATTTAATTTGGAAATTAAAAATTGAGAACATGATGCTTAATAATGAAGCGTCAAGAGTATGCCACTCTAAAAAATTTCTTCCAACGAAAGAATTAAAAAAAATTACTTTATTTGAAAACAAATTGAAACTCTATTTTACTCGGGAGTAAAAGAGTCAAAAATTTACTTTATTCGAGAATGGAAGTATCGAAGAGCTGGTTTGTCCAAGAATTCAGAATTTAATTTAAAAATTAAGAATCGAGAGTATGATACTCAAGAAATACTGAGGCCACTCGCAGAATTCACTTTCAGAATTGGAAACTGAAAATTCAATTTAATAAGGGCGAAAGAATTATGATATTTCATTTCGGGACGAGGAATTAAAAATTAAGAATTTGATTTAAAGAACGCATTAAATTATTTTCGTTTCTATGATATAATATGTAATAATGTAATAAAAATATTAATATTAATATTATACAATGACATATAATAATACAATTAAAAATAAACAAATAAATTCAATGATGAGATTCAATCAAGAAATGAATATTGACAAAAGCAGTAATTATTTAATTAAAAATTAAATTCAATTTCAGAATTAAAATCGTAATAATTAGAACATATTCAATTGCGTCGT